ACGAAAAGATATTTTATTTAGTGTTTTGGAAAGCTCTTATAGACAAACTTGTACATTACAAATGTCGTATTTTAATTTTGGCAGTTTTCTCACACCAATTTTTCTAAAAAGTCAAGATCTCCGGATTTTATGTCATCTGTCTACGCGTTGCGCCATTTCACCAATTTGATAGATTCATTATACAAAAAGTCTAAAAACCCCTAAAAATTTCGAAAAATATGTATTTTTAGAAAACGTGTTTCTTACAAAAATTGTAATGTTTTAAGAATTGTATTAGGTAGTAGAATTAGTATGATCCTGAATGACAGTGTCAAAATCATCTTCAATTCCTTAAAACTCCTATTTTTTATTGCAATCTTGTAGCTTATCTCGAGAGTATATAATGAATCTATCAAATTGGTGAAATGGCGCAACGCGTAGACAGATGACATAAAATCCGGAGATCTTGACTTTTTAGAAAAATTGGTGTGAGAAAACTGCCAAAATTAAAATACGACATTTGTAATGTACAAGTTTGTCTATAAGAGCTTTCCAAAACACTAAATAAAATATCTTTTCGTTAAGTACGTTAAGTTCGTAAAATATCTTTTCTAATTATGAGACTTAAAAGTTACAGTGTAACCCCCACGCAATACACTTTAAGTAATGCTAATGCCAGCAGTACTGTAACTTTCAAGCTGAAAAGTTGCGTTCAAGCGAGAAAGCTGCGTTGCCTTAAAGCTGCGTTGCTGTGTTGTGATATTAAAAAATTGATCGAATATATCGATTGAACGATTGTTACTGATCAAAACTGCTGAATCTATTTTTTCAGTGTAATCTTACTTTCACTCATTCTCACCCCTTCTCTTGCCCATATCTTCTTCCTTGTCCTTACACCCTCTCTCAAAGCTCTTGCACAATGCTAGACAATAGAAATAGGTATTAGCCAGTAGGAACAGGGAATAGAAATAATTGACCAATCCGAATTCCTATTCCCTGTTCCTATTCCCTGTTCCTATTGGCTGTTGCCTGGCAAGGGCCTTTAGCTTCGCCCATTCCTTGCACTTTACTTTATCCCTTCTCTCATCCATCATTTCACCAAGAAAAAGATCTTTCGTGTGAATCGTCTGTCGATCAGTCTCATTTGAGATAGAGTTGTGAAACACTCGTCGAACAGTGTGACTGTGACTGTCATTGCAAAGAGATCTCGCTGGAAATCCTCGCTGGAAATCCTCGCTGGAAATCCTCGCTGCGTTACCTTAAAGCTTGCGTTGCTGCGTTGTGATACTAAGGTAAAAGATTTACTCTTATTCTTTTACATTTTTTATATTTTTAAACTTGCGTGTATGTTCGTTAGTGTCGCTGTATATGAACGTGTGTAATTATAAAAAATGATTCGATGTCGACTGTCAGGCGGGTAGTAATAAGTAGTAGTAAGTAATAATGACATTTGTCATGAGACAAAATATTGTCGCTATAGGATCATCTCTCGTGTGTATGACCTAATGATAAATATATTTTTTTCTCACACACAGTCTATTCAATCGATTGTAATAAACAATCTCTGCTGCGAAGCCACGAACACAGAGAACGATATTTTGTGTTTTCCATTGTTCTGTCGTCGTCGTGTTTGAACGACTGTGAACGAAACTAAAATTAACTCGTTGATTCATTAAGTTAGGAAAGATTAGCATGCAAACGAGGCGCTGAATACACACACGCACATTTGCTTCCACCCATACATACACAGATACTATTTCAACCTCGATTTCGCTCTTGTAAATTCTCGTATATTTAATTCATAAACAATGCATATCTCGCAAAAATAAAATAAATGCGAAGCACAACTGCGGTAACACAGCCATCTACGTTTATAAGCTACTTAATTTCTTATCAGCGCTGGGACATGTCCTAGTTTGTGATTAAATCACACTACGGCTACTCACCCCCCGACATCTGACAGATAATCCTTGTGA